TATTATCAAAGCATTTTTAGTGATTATTAACATCACATAATCAAACCCTAGTGTCCTATGAATATTCTTCGAACCATCTTCTCATATAAGAATTGGCTAAAATTTTTTCAACGTTAGAGTATCGAATGCAAATTGATCATTAATGAATAATACTAAACTTACTCTTAAATTTGTTATTGTAAGAAAAGTCGATGCTCTTGGTGGTGGAGCACTAGAGTTTGAGAAGAAAATACAAATTGCTTATCCAAGACAATTTTAAGTCTCTACTCAGAGGTAGACTGGAGCAATACAAAAGAAGAATTATGCACCTTTCATGCATAACAGTGAAACTTTTTTTTAAGGGAATAGCATTGAAGTTTGCAAAGAGAATGGGGATGAGTCAATCACCCCCTATTTAATGGGGCATTTATAGCTTAAAAACCAAGGTATTAGATCAGTCACTTGCATGTCGTTGTGCGTTCATGCATGCTCTTACGCGCATGGGTGCGCAGGGAAGACCCTACGCCCGCTGATGATTCACTACATGTGTCGTTTCTTTCGCGCACAGTCGTGAATGCCCATGTGCTTGTAGTCACGAGTGCCCATACACTCATGAACATATGTGCACCCCAAGGCGTCAACATATCTATTCCACCATTTATTGGCTTTTTTTTTGTTATTTTGACATTTTTCGCAACTCAATAGAACCTCTACAATCACTTTTGAATAATTTGAAGAATTGATAATCTTTTTAATATTTTTCACTTAGATGAAATTATACAACAACAACAACAACAACAAAGCTTTAATCCCACTATGTTGGGTCGGCTACATGAATCCTTTTTCTCCATTGCGTCCTATTTAGTGTCATATTTTCATTTAGTTCTAGTAAATTATGATCATTTTTAATACAATAAGCCCAAGTCTTCCTACGTCTACCTCTGCCTTTCTTAACACAAGTCGAATCTAAAATATCTACTCTCCTAATCGGATCATCAGATGGTCGACGTTCTCTACGACGACTTTCTCTAATTTTGTCTGTCATAGGAGCTACACCAACCATATCACGAATATATTCATTCTGTATTTTGTCTCTAAGTATAAAGCCAATAAAGCCACTCATCCAAGCCACTCATCCACCTAATCATTCTCATCTCGGCAACACTTAAATTATTACTATGCTTTTCTTTTAAAGGACAACATTCAGCGCCATAGAGCATTGCAGGTCTCACCACCGTCTTATAAAATTTTCCTTTCAGTCTTAGCGGTACTTTTCTATCACACAAAAAACCCGAAGCATTCCTTCACTTCAACCAACCAACTTGAATTCTACTATTAACATCCCCATCTATATCACCATCGCTTTGGACAACGGACCCAAGATATCTAAATCGTTCACACCTTTTAATAATTTGATCACCCAAAGTCACATCTGTCACTAGAGCTATTACTATTAAAATTACATTCAATGTATTCAGTTTTAGTTCTACTTAAAAGAAGGCCCTTAGACTCCAATGTAGTCCTCCATAATTCAAGTTTTTCCTGGGCTTTTTCTCTCGCCACGAGAAGAATATCATCAGCAAAAAGCATACACCAAGGTACATCATCCTGTAAATGTCCAGTAAGACCATCCATAACTAAAGCAAAAAGATATGGGCTTAAAGCTGATCCTTGATGTAATCCAATTAGAATAGGAAAATATTTTGTCAATCCTCCTTCAGTTTGAACACAAGTAACAGCTCTAGTATACATATCTTTAATGACTTGAATATAAGTCATATCAACACATTTCTTCTCGAGAACTCTCCAAAGGATATCTCTTGGAACCTTATCGTAAGCTTTTTCTAAATCAATAAAAATCAAATGTAGATTCTCCTTATTATCTCTGAACTTCTCCATCAAACCTCTCAATAAATGTATAGCTTCAATATGTAGCAGCATGAAGCATCAAATGACTATCTATTCTTATCTTAATTGAATTGCACTTAAAAGAATGCCCAAATTTACTAGAATTTCCCTCTTTGACTCGTAAGCTTAATAATGTGGAAATATACGACATAGGGTGGGAAGCTTTGTAGGTTAAAACTTAAATTTTTTATTTTATTTTATTTTTGCCAATGTTAATGAGGGGCAGTTACATACATAGCACCAAATAATTTGTTGGGATGTTAGTGGTGATTGTAATTAATTCAGCAATCTCCATAAAGTGTCCATCTTTCCTTTGTATATGTTATTGCGAGGATTTGAAACTGGAATCAGAATCGGATATTGTATACATAGAGTTATGACGACTCATATTACCCTGGAGTTCTTCTGGAAGGCCTTTCATTGATTTTCATCTTTGATATACTTTACTTGAGTTAAATTTTTACTTTTCTTTTCTCATTGTCTAACTAGTTTATACATATATTTTTCACCATCCTTAGTATCTAATATCTTATAAAGATCATTAAAAGTAGATTTTTTAGCGTCACAGCTTATTCTTTTAGACTCCCTGCGGGCCGTTTGATATTTTTCTCAGTTCTCTAAGCTTTTATATTTAAACCAATTTTTATAACATAACTTCTTATATTGTATCTTTTCTTGCACATTATTATTCCACCACCATCTATTTTTATTTGTAAATAGTTTTTCTTTTGATTCTCCAAACACATCTTTTGCTACTTGTTTAATAGTATTTGTTATTTTATCCCACATCACATTTGTTTTTTCATGAATATCCCAAATTTTGAAATCTTGAATTTTACTCATAAAAATAATTTTATTTGTATCTTTTAAGTTTCTCCATCTAATTCTGCAATGATGAGTCCTAGTATTTTTTATTTTACAACTCTTAATCTTAAAATCTAAAACTAATAAACGATGTTGGGCATTTAAATTTTCACTTGGAATGTCCTTACAATCTTTACAATTGCGATGATCTCTTCTTCTTATAAGAAAATAATCAATTTGTGTTTTATTAGATCCACTCTTATAAGCAATAAGATGTTCATCTCTTTTTTTGAATAAAGTATTAGTAATAACAAAATCATACGCTAAAGCAAAATCTAAAATAGTTCTACTTTCTTTATTAGTTACTTCAAAACTGTAGCCACCATGAATATTTCTGAAATCTTCTACCACTCTACTGACATGTCCATTTAAATCTCCTCCAATAAAAATTATTTCTTCAAGAGGTATCATTTGTATTAAGTCTTCTAAGTCATTCCAAGATTTATCTTTAGACCCTGTATCTAAACTTATTTGAGGAGCATAAACACTTATAATATTAAAAATCTTAGTATCAATGATAATCTTAAGGGCTATAATTCTATCACAAACTCTATTAATTTTTACAACATTATCTTTCAAACTTTTGTCTATAATTACACCTACACCATTTTTAGTGCGACTCTTATCAGAATACCAAAGTTTAAAACTTAAATTATCAATTTCCTTAGTCTTTTTGCCAATCCACTTAGTTTCTTGAATACATAAGATATTAATTTTTCTATGAATCATAATATCAACTAATTTCATTAATTTATCATTGAGAGTACCTATATTCCAAGATCCTATCTTAATATTAGTTTCATGGACTAACTTCTTTACCCGCATTCGCCCGTAATGTGGGAACCCTTGCTTATTTAACACTACACCCGGGCGTCGGTGTAGCGGCCTTTGCACACTTTTCACTGTATTCAGGCTATACAACGCGTCGCTTCCAGGGGACGCCCTAGCACTTACACAATGATCAAAAGCATTCATGTCATTATTTTTTTTCGACAAGTTTTACGCTGGCTGTCGACTACCTAACGCAACCCTCTACTTTTCGCATCCGGGCTTGGGACCGGCAACGACAGTGTTACTCAGAAGGAATTATGATTTAAGTTATTTACCTAGTTCATGACTCTGGGGGAAAATTCTCATTGTCGTCCAAGGAACAACAGCGTTTTATAATATTTCTGAAATTATAATTTTGAGGTGCAAATTTTTTAAGGACCTATTGTGTATTTTTGGAAGATAAAAAAGCTTGACGTAAAAAAAATGCCAACTAATACGTTACAAAAAATTCACGTGAACAGGCATGAATCTCTATAATGTTAAATGAGATAAATTTTTGAAGTCAAATTCAAGATTGGTCTTGTTTCAAATTTCAATAAATTTTTTGTTAAAATGAATATTTTGAAAATGCGAACTCAATGATACCAAAAATGCTTCAATGCGAGTCAAAATGAACCCCAATCTAGCCCGTAAAGTAAAACTAGAAACTTTAAAGAATTAATTGAAAGGTAAAGAAATATCCGAATTATGGCATACTTATACCTAATCGAGCAGCTTGACTCGAGAAATTCAATAAGTCTTAGATTACTCAATTCTAATGTAGCTAACACATTTAAATGTTAAAAAGAAAAATGATCTATGATCAACGAAATAAATATGGAATGTTTATCAAAGTATTTTGGGATTTTGGTTGAATTTACCTGATTGCCACTCTAAAAGCTTTGAATAAAAATCTCTTCTTTACATGAAGATCTGAGAAGTTGAGAGCTAAATCTGAACTCATCAAAAGAGCTGGAAACCAATGATCACGAGCAATTTTCTACCACCTCTAGTTGTTGTAGCTCAATTATTGTCATACAACAGTTGTTTCTCAATTATTATCTCCGAATTGTTGTCTTCTAACCATTGCTGAACATTTTATGCATTTAATCATATGTATCTATCCCTCATTCCTTCCCATTTCTCCAGTTTATGAAAGAATGTGTGCGAGTGTGTGTGTGTGTTTATATTATATAACTCAAAATCAAAATATTTTAGAAAGTCAGCTTCACCACTTCTGTATTTTAAATAAAAATCAAAGGCATTGATATCATTTTATGCTCGGATTAAATTCTCATACGAAAAAAAAAAGGATCTTTTCATTTCTGTTAGGATTTGAGCTTATGCCTCTCTTTAAAATCATATCTATGTATATGAATTTGTTCTGTCCATCTGTGCCTTAATCAACTAATTTATTCTGCCGTCCTCATTTCTAACAGGAGTTTGATCTCCGTGCTGCAATTCCCTTGGGCTTCTTTCACAGCGCTCTAAATATTGGAGTTGCTGCCGGCATAATAATGCCATGGGGGAATGGATTCATGGCTTCCCCCACACCTTTGACAGAGAGGTTCTACATTGGTGGCAGCTCTTCTCCCCTCTCCCTGTTAGGCGGCCCCACATCCCTGTTAGGGTTCAAGATGAGAGGGCTCGGCCCCACTGACTTAAGGAGGATGACTCCAAGCAGAACTGATGGGACCAGTGACTCCCCATCAAGTCCTGAAAGGGATTCGTTAGGGGGAGACTTTGCAGTTACTGCGTGTGCTGATCTTTCCTTTGACTTGCCTCTCAAGGTGCTCAGAGATTCTGGAATTTACGGTCATACATTTATTTCAGCTGGGAATCTGGCAAAATTATCTGAGGGTTCTATCAAAGATTTCTCAATCCGGCAGTTTGCTCGGAACTTTCGTAGCTCTGCTGGGTTTGGTGTAATTGTTCCTACCAAGCTCTTCCGCATGGAGGTCTTTTCTTCCCACATACCTGCCAGTTCCTTTTTTTTATAATATATGCAGGGAAGATATACATGCATACCCCTCAATCCTTATGTATTTACATATCTAACATATAAGCTTCAAATTTTACATATATGTTCCCTTATCTATGCTTGAAAAGGTGTATTTTATTTTTAAAAGTTAAAATAATAGTACTTTTTCTATGATACGAAAGATTTGGATTTTGTACATTTAAAAACTAAAATTCATTGTTAGATATGTAAAAAGATAAGAATTGGGTGCTATGTACGTAAATGCCCAAGGAAAAGGTTTACATGCATACCACTCAATTCTTATGTATTTACATATCTAACATCTAAACTCCAATTTTCACATATATGCCACCTTACCTATGCTTGAAAAGGTGAATTTTACTTTTCAAAAGTTAAAATAGTGGTATTTTAATGTGATATGAAATATTTAAATGCTATAAATGTAAAAATGTAAAATTTAGGCTTTCGATATGTAAAAACATAAGAATTGGGCTGTTTATATGTAAATGCCCCCACATGCAAATATATATTTTTGATTGACCATGATATTTGACTAATAGATTCATTCTGACATTGTGTCCGTCTTTCAGGTAAACTATTGTTACATCCTGCGGCAATTTGAGCATGATAGAGCAAAGACAGGTATTCAGTTTAGCTTCTCTCCTCTTTCCTAGAAGCTTTTGTCTGACAGAGTTATTGGATAAAATATGTCCATCAGATATTCTTCTTTGTTCATTTCTTACGATGGTTACTCCGAAAGGAAAAAAAAAAAAAAAAGCAGCACATTTGTGCTTGAAAATTGGAGATTAAGCATCTCGTTCTTGTCCATTTGACATGTCTGTAGCAGTAAACTATTCCAGTTTTAATTATTTTTCAAAATTCTTATGCCACAATGTATCTCTGATTGTTGATTCAAGCTGTTTCTGTTTCACCAATTATATATTGGTGTTACATAGGGCTGGGAGTGAAACTATGTTGCAGGATATGTATTTTGGTGGCATCTGCGGCTTGAGAGGTTAATTTTTCTATTATATTCTCAGCTTTATTCGAATTATTTGAAGTTCTTTATGAATATTCAGTCTCTATTCTTTTATATTTAATGCTATTAAAATAAAAAAAAAAACAAAAGCCAGAGTTGTAAAACAAACAGGGCTTTATTTATGATTGCATGTTGTTTGATGGATTTTATTGAATGAAGGAGAACTGTGTGCAGTAATTATTTTCCATTCATAACAATCCCGACATCCAGAAAGTTCTTGCCTTAACGGCCATATCTTCTTGCTTAATAATAATAGTAGGGATGGTTATATATAGAGCACCCGAAACACTGATATTTACCTAATTAGATTTAGAAATGCATTCAAAATACAATGCTTTTAAAAATTCTTTGTTTTTTGAAAATAAATTGACTGTATAAGATGGGTATGATCTTTTATAACTTTAAAAAAAAAAGTTGCATTTATAGCCTTTCTGAATCTTGCATTTAACAAAAAATTTGAGTAAGAATCTTTGGTTCTGACTTTAGCAATGGATGTTCAAATGAGAGGTGAGAGAATTTCTATAAATGGTTATAGGAACAAGGGTGTGATTGAAGTTGACTTGGGAATGGACTTCAGCTTGGCTTGATAAATGACTCATAAATTGAGCTTGATGAGCTAATAAATCAAGCTTAAGCCAATCCTAGCTCAATTTGTTAGCTCGTTAGCCGACCCGCTTAAGAAAATAATTAATATAAATTATATTCAAAATATGTTGTTGGCATTAATTTTTGGGTTCACGAGTGTAAAGTGCTCACCTGCACAACTAGGGATAGTTTACGGTTTTTTCGTATCTCCCGGTAGCTCAAGACACCCGCTTGAGACTTTTTAGGACTTTTTCGGGGCAAGTAGCTAGGTTGACGACAATTTAGCCATACCCGGAAAGCTCCCTTTGGGAAGGATTATTTGAACGTGAGAAATATTTGATGCTCATTTTGGTGTTTAGGAGTCACCACACGTCTGTTTGGAGCATCCCACGATTATAGGAAATAATGGAAGCCTCCTCTGCTCGCTACGGGAAAATTAATGTTCGAAATACCCTGCATGTGTCATGGACGATCGATGGCGGCGATTTCCCCAGTATATGGCCGATCAAAATACTATATTCCAAAGTTGTCGGACTACATTTCTCTCATGTAAAGTCTTCAATAGCTTTCAGATCAACAAAATTCTTCGTTGGGTGTTCCCAACAAAAATCAAGGTTTTGGAGCTAAACGGTGCTTAGGCTTCCAAAAATGCATTCCCAGATTATCAAGCCCGAGACTCTGGAGGTCTTACACCTGTTTCTAGTATCTGGTATCATGTCGAGCACCTAGTGCAAATACCAGACACCTAGGTGCCCAAAACAGACAAAAAATTGTTCATTTTTAAAGTCAGATTTAATCATCTATTCATCTTCTCAATATTGTTTGCCTTCATCCTCTCCCATCCCTTTATTGACCCAATCATATTTTTTTTACGACCCAGCCCGACAACTTGAAATTACCAAGACAGGAATTGACGGTCAGACGGATGAAAGCTATCTAACAGTTTTATTTCACAACGAATATAAAATCCAAAGCTTAAAAGTGTCATTCTATTTTATAAACATATACTTACAACATATTGTTGATTTTTAAACATTTACATCTATTAAAAATAAAAATTGAACTAAAATTTGTATCAGATTGCGCTCCGCGATGTCATATACGTGGTTCCTGAGATTCATCTATACTAATTTTCCTGTAAAATTTTAGCAATTAAGGTTTGAGTTAAAACCATTTAGTGGACAAATGCTTTGAAATTACAATAATTTTAATTTTAAAATATTATATAAACATCTTATAACAGTAAAAAACTGTGTAGTAAAAGAAAGTAATAAAGAAATCAGTTCAATTTTATTTCATTTATTTATGTTATACTATTCATAATTAGGAGCCATCATCTAAATGTATAATTTATAAATATATATATTTAACTTTTTCCAATACAAAAATCTTTTCCATTTCTATTTTCATTTTCGTGCACGAGTACATTGTATTCCCCTGCCAGTTTCATTTAGTAGTGACTTACATTTGCATTTATATATCAGATTTTATTCATTTTTTTCTTGCATTTAACATTTAAAGGAAAAAAAAAAATTTTTTTGCATTCACGACAAAAGCTGAAAAATAGTAAATAAGCAGAACTATTGTTAAATAAAATATATTTACTCACCTTAGTAGTGTCTTATGCCATCCTTTTTCCTTATATCAATCTAGTCCTTAGATACACATATAATAACACTTTAAATATAACTAGTTTTGTGTTCAGGACTAATCATCTCTTCTATTAATTTTAGATTTTATATCTTTTTTTTATAATTTATTTATTTAATTAGCAATTTATTTATCCTTATAAACATATATAGATATATATGTATTATTTAAATATATATACATATATAAGTAGAAATATCCAATTAATTTTTATGTTAAAATTTCTATAGTTTTTTTTGGGCGTACCTAAAATTAATAACACTTTAATTATAAATAAGTTTTAAGTTAGGATTGCAGATTTCATTTTAACATTACTTAATAAGAAAAATAATAATTAATTATTGAATTCGAGTTTTAAAACTAATATTTTTCTATTCCTCTTTGTGGGTTGCTTTCCCGTGGAAACCCTAATTAAAATTGTAAGAATCAACCTTTGAATTTTTTAAACATTAATTAAATTAATTAGGTGGTGTTTAGTAGCTCATTATTAATGGGATTTATGACAAATTTATTAAATCCAGCCACACAAAAAACACAAATTTTATGGATTTATGAAATTTCGGATTTAAGATTCGAATTTTGCCTAGGATTCATGTTAAATCATGATTTCATAAATCCATCAAAAGGATGCTCTAATAAATCTGGATTTACTAAATCATTGTTAAATCCTTCATGCAGCGGAACACCCTTTTGGGATTTACAATCCTAATTTAATTGTTAATAATTAATTAAGGTTTCATAATTTAATTTAAATCAATTAAAATTAATAATTTGGCTTACCTTAGCTTAGGGGTGTAAATGAGCCGAACACGAGCGAGCCCAAGCTCAGCTAGTGTTCGGCTCATGTATATTTTGAGTTCAAAAAGTGTGTTCGTGTTCGACTCATTTGCTTAGCAAGCCGAACACGAGTTGCTCACGAACAAAGAGTTGTTTTAACAACCCTAATCACTACCAACCATTCTTAATTTTTAGAATATGCCTATTATAATGGGTATAGAATCTTCAACTCTAAAAATCTCAAAACAAGTTTTTAGAAGTTATAGAGTGATTAATAGATGATCAAACTTTGAAGTGACAAGGTACTTCTACTTCGCAAATTAAAAATTATGCATTCCAACAAATTTTTGTAACCCTGTTCGCGAACAAAGAACAGTTTTGAACAAAAATTTATGAGCGAACCGAGCTCGGTGGAGCTCTCCCGCACGCAAAGCTTCCGCGAGCACTTCCTTCCTCTCCAAGCTCTCGATCCTACAGGCTGCACGAGAGGTAAAAATCACAACACCTCTCCTCTCTGCCGAAGAGCTAGGGCACCGATTCCCTCGATTGATGCGTATGAGCGAACCCGCGGCTTCGTCTCCCTTCACTTCTACGCTCCGCAGGGTTTCGGTTCCTACGGGAGCTTCTTCTTCTTCCTCTACTTCGACCCTCCTACCTTAGGTCGCAGTTCAAACCAGCACCGCAGGCGTGCCTCTTTCTTTGCAAATCGGCTCGGTTCTGTTGCACACTTAAGGTATGTTCCTTCTTAGACACGGGACTCAAGCGCTTCCTCGTCGCTTCTCCTTTCTTTTACAGAAGAGCCGCTCGATGCTTCTCCTATTCAATTAAGGCTTGAACTCTCCCTTGTTCTTTAGTGCACAGGATACCCACACGACGTCTTCAGTTTAGGCGATTTACCCTTTCCCCTCTCTCTTCCTCTTCTTCGCCCAGTAAGTCCTTTCTTCCGACTTTTCTTCGCCCAGTAAGTTCTTTCTTCCGACTCACCCTCACTCTATCTTTCGCTCTCACCGCCTCATTTCTTCCCTTCACTGATTTGAACGAGGTTAAATACTAAACAGTTCCCTTACGAACAGTTGTTTGGTTCCAAGGAAACGATGCTCATTTTCAATATTTCACATCACATATTTATTTATTATTGTTATTTTTAAGTTGTTATTACACTTTGCTTCCCGTATTTATGCCCAACCATCTTTTGTTCGTTATGCTGCTGATCACCCTCTTTTACTGTAACCTGGTGATTTCAGTAAATTTACTGATCTCCTTTTGTTATTTTTTTGAGTTATTTTTTTGTCTTTATAGTTTTTTACTGTTATGTGTACATGGTAGTGTCTAGGACTTGATCCAGAAAACAAAATTTGTTTCTATAATTTTTTTTTGGCTTAAGATTTGACATCACATTGTACTATTGGAAAGCCCCGGATGGAACCTTTCAATTAGCTTCGACTCTCACAAGAACATTTTCATCATTTTCATTTGTTGTTTAGTAAGAGTAGGCTATTGATGTGAAGGCCGGGAGTTTTCTTATTGCCAAGTGTTATTTATGAATCAATTAAGCTGAGTACCCCATTTTATATAATTTTATCAGTTTTGGTTTTAATTCAGAATTTTTTCCTATGATAAGTTACTCAATTTTAATGTCTAAATTATGCACATAACTACCAATATTAGGCATTTAGATAAATTATCAATTAATAAAACATGTAAAAAATTAGGTATGAGTTTAATAATGCAAAAGATACACAAAATTATTATGAAAAGTTGAAAGTATATACAGAATTCTTTATTATTGTCAGGAGGAAAAAAGGGTGCAACATGAATTTTCCAAATATCTAAGTATAGAAGCTTTAGTACAAATGAACTGCAACTAAATCTTAGGAGAAAACAAGAAAATGCTAATTATGTTGAAGCTTGCCTAGCTGATAGAAAAAAAACTAGAAAGAAAGAAAAGAAGCAGTATTATCATTCAAAAAACATGTTGAAGAATAAACTAAAGAGCTGAAGTCACGTTTGAGGAACTTAGGATCTAGAAACAAAGCACATGTTTTGCAATTTTAGAGCACGCTCCTGCTCCACAGAGGCTGATTCCTACTACATTGATGTTGTTGATTTTCTTGGGAGGATTACACATTGCTAAAGGAACCTTTTTTTCTTAGTTCATTTTACATTTTCCATAAATTTTGAGGTTATTCTGATCTGTAAAGCTTGTGTACCTGCTTAGGTTTATGTCGATGGAAGGCTGATTCCTACTTCTGATGATGAGCTCATTGAGGTTAAACATTTCCTAGAGGATGATTGTACACTAGTTTTACATTCATTCTGATCCGCGACCTGAACTTTGTATTCAAGTGAAAATGATGATGAAAAACGTTTCTACAAGTCACATCTAAGTTTTCCTTTTTTAATATCGACATGCACTTATCAACCTATAGTTAATGGGTTTTTGGTGCTGTTGATATGCACATTACCCCTTTTATTTAAAGAGTTTGTTTTCATGAATGAAACCCGTGGCCTACAAATCACAATTGAGACATTCTATTCGCTGCACTAGTCCCATCCTATATGTTAATCTCATAATTTTGACCCTAAATATCTTGAATACTGTACCTTTCCTGCCCAAACTTTGTGATTCTTGCAAAGCTTTTATTTAATTATCAAACCCATTTGCGAGGGGAAAAATAATTATTCCTCGTCAATTTCATAGAAAACGATGATAGATATATGAGGATGATTCCTACATTAGGAAAATAATAAAATCAGTCATAACTCATGATAAGAACAAATATTTGACATATCAATTATTTTTTCTTATAATGGAAAATACTAATTATAGAATATACTAAAAGTAAAATCTTCCTAAAAATTCAACAACCTCCCTCAAGTTGGAGCATATATATTTATCATGCCTAACTTGTTTACATGGAGCTCAAAATTAGTCATGAAGCATTTGTTGTAGATATCCACTATTTGTTGAGTAGTACGGATAAATGACATATAAATAACTCCACAATCAATCTTTTCTTTTATGAAGTTTCTGCCAATTTCCACATGCTTTGTGCAATCATGTTATAGTGGATTTCTACAATGTTTGTTACTGTTTTATTGTCACATTATGACTTCATTGGCATGTTTATCAAGATTTGCAGCTCTTCAAGAATTTTTCTCAAGCATAACATCTCACTTACTCTATTAGCCATAGCCCTGTATTCTATCTCAACACTATTTGCAATCACATTTTATTTCTTACTTCGCCATGTAATCAAATTTCCTCACACATAGGTGCAGTATCTAGAAGTTGATCTCTTGCCAATATTCGAGCCTACCCAATCTGCATCATTGTACACCTTTATGCTCTTTTGTGTGATGTTTTGAAAGAGTAAGCCTTTACTTGGTGTAGTATTTGAGAATTTTGTTGACTGCTTCCATGTGTTTCTCATAGGGTGAATGCATAAATTGACTTACCAAACTCATAACAAAGACAATTTTTAGCTGTATTTGTGATGTGTATATCAACTTCCCCACCAATTTTTGATACCTAGATATATTCACCAGATCGCCTTCATTTCCATCTGTTTGTTTCTGATTGTGATCAATTGGAGTGTCTGTAGGTCTACCCCCACTCATCTCCGTTTTATTGAGAAAATCAATAACAATTCTTTTCTTCTATCGAACAATCTCAATGCCAAGGAAATATCTTAGAGATCTTAAGTCATTGGTTTCAAAAACATATGATAGGGAAGTCTGCAAACAGTTCATCTCATATACATCATTTCCGGTGAGAGTATTATTATTCACATACACAATCAATATGATTATCTTCTCATTATTTGATTATTTGAAGAATATTGTATGATCTCCCTGTCCTTGATTATACCTCTGAATTTTAACAATTAGTGTAAATTTCTCAAACCATACCCTTGGTGGCTGCTTCAACCCTTATAAAGATTTTCTTAGTTTATACACTTTTACTATACTTCTCATTAAATTTCGAAGGTACATACATGTACACTTCTTCCTCCAAGTCACTATAAAGGAATGCATTTTTTATATCCAATTGTTGTTGGGGGCAGTCAAGATTAGCTGCAAGTGATAGAAGAACCCTACAAATTTTTTCGACTGGGGCAAATTTCTCTAAATAATCAATGTCATAGGTTTGAGTAAATTTCTTGGCAATCAATCAAGCCTTGTATCGTTCTAGAGAGTCATCATAATTATACTTGATTGTAAACACCAATTTACACTTGACAATTGTCTTACATTTAGGTAGATCAATCAGTTCTCACATGCCTTTTTTTGAAGAGCTTTCATCTTCTCTAAAGCAACCTCTTTCCATTTAGGGACTTTCAAAGTATCCTGCACAGTATTGGGAATCTTCATATGCGATAATTGTGCATAAGCATAGAAAGTGGGTGAGAGATTTTCATATGACACATAATGGGACAATAGATATTTGGTGCAAGCCCTTTGCCCGGTGGGAAGACTAGACTCATAAAACTCAGCATTTGAACTAGGCTCAAATTCATAACTAGAAGACTCATAACTCGAAGATGAAGTGGACTGAACATAGGGTAAATGATTAGTGAGGACATTACTTGGGTTCGCGGATTCTTGAGCTGTTCTTTTTCGCGAGAAGACTATATTAAATGGTACCACTATCGTAGTTCCTTTTCCTATTTCTTTTTTGTTATAAATATCATGAGATGACATTATAAGAACTAAAATTTCTAAAAAACTCCATGTACTCTCTCCTAATATAATATCACTTGAGTTTTCAGGTTGAACAATCCAGGTTGGGGATAATTGTGAGGTATAATCATGGAATTTGGGTGAGAGGTTTTTATATGACACCTGATGGGACAATAGATATTGGATGCAAGACCTTTCTCGAATGGAAAGACTAGACTCATCAAACTCATCATTTGAACTAGGCTCAAATTCATGACCAGAAGAATCATAACTTGAAGATGAAGTGGACTGAACATGGGGTAAATGATTAGTGAGGACATTACTTTAGTTCACAGATTCATGAGTTGTCCGTTGTCACGAGTAGACAATATTAAATGGTACCACTGTCGTAGTTCTTTTTCCTATTTCTTTTTTGTTATAAATATCATGAGATGACATTATAAGAACTACAATTTCTAAAAGACTATATACTCTCTTCTGATATAGTATCACTTGAGTTTTCAAGTTAAACAATCCAGGTTGGGGATTTACTATTTTGAGGGTTTTTAGTTTAAAGAAAATCTTGAAACTCAGTAGACTAATCTTTGTTTTAATCTCCCCTTGAAGATGAGGTAAAAAAAATTGTAATTCAAAAAAGGTGATATCGAAGCTAACAAATATTTTCTTGAATTGGGATCAAGCATTTATACCCATTTTTGTTAGGAATGTAACCAATAAATACACATTTTTTGGCTTAGGATCGAAGTTTTTCTTGATTATGAATGTGAACGAAAGCAGTACACCCAAATATCTTTAGAGGTAGAGAAAATGGGAACTGATTTTTTAGAAAAAAAAATAAAAATTATTAAAATGTGTTTCAAAATTTAAAACTTTATCGAATGTTTTATTTATGAGAAATGTAGCAGTAAGAACAACTTCATCACAAAGATATTTAGACATATGATTGGTAAATAACAATGCCCGAGCTTCATTAATAAGTGTTTGTTTTTTTCTTCAATCACACCATTTTTTTTGTGAAGTGTTGACACAAGGGTTTTGATAAATTATTTCTTTTTCGAGAAATAATTTACCTAAGATATTTTCAAAATACTCTCAGCCATTATCACTTCGTAATATTTGAATACTTTTTTGAAACTTTATATCTTGACATAAAAGTTTTTGAAATTTATCTTTGGATTTTTCCTTCATTAAGTAAACCTAATTTAGTGTGATCATCAATGAAAGTTACAAACTATTTTTTTCCAGAATATATACGTTTTTTTACAAGGATCCAAGATATCACTATAAATTAGAGTAAATAGTTTAGTTGGTTTATATATTTCTGGTGAAAATGATGCACAATGATGTTTAATAAACTGAAAAAAGTTACATTGAAACAAAGTCAAATTTATATTCTGCAATATTTTGGGAAATAAATATTTTAGATACTGAAAACTAAAATGGCCTAACATATAATGTCATAACATAATTTCATTATCTTTAGAAACAAAAATATAATTTAAACCAGTACTTTGACATCTTCTATTTTAGTCAAGCTCATCGTTAAAATAATATAGTTCACATTTTTTCTTAGCACTACCAATCATCATCTTCATCGTCAATTCCTGAAAATCACAACAAGAAGAATAATTTGACATTGATGATCAACATTAATTTTACCAATCAACAACAAGTTACGCGACATATTAGGAACATGAAGAACACCACAAAAGGTGAACAACTAGGAGAGTATGACAGCTTCTATCTCGATGATTAACGAGATGAAACTATCAACAATTATGACTTTTTATTGCCTTTACAAGGTCTCTAGGAGGGAAATAATTCAAAACAATCAATCTTGTGATCCGTTCCGCCATAATCAATTATCTAAGATTGTGAAAAATTAGGAATAACACCTAGTAAAGTTGTGACCGAAGAGTTACCCTTATATACTGAGGAGTAAGATGGAATTATGTACAAATTTGGAGATTGAAATAATTTATACTAGTGCTTTAATTGTTCCTTGGTGAAAAGGACTGCATTCGAGTTAGCAGACAACTCTCAAGTTTCTTCAGTAGTGGCTTGATAAGATTGACTTTCACGCTTGAATTTTCATTTTCAATTTGTAGGTTTATCATGAATCTTCTAATAATTCTGTTTCATGTGCCATGATTTTTTGTAATGTCTGCAACATGATTTTTAGACCCTTCTTGATCAGTTTCAACCCCTTTTGACACAAGAGCTGAGTTTTCCTGCTCAATGTTACAAGACGATTCAATGTTGCACTACAAATTTTTTTCTCGACTCTTTACGTCTAACTTCATAAAAGACTTCTAGAATTGTGAGTAGAGGTTTCTTACCAAGGATTCAATCTTTAATTTAGTCTGAAGTCGATTAATGCCAACTAAGAACATGCATACCCAATCGTTTTCCTCTTTCTTTTTGTGGATAACATAATTATTCGAATTTTCTCAGATATCATCATGAAATTTATCAAGCTATTGTCATAATGTTATCAACTCATCGTAATACGTAGTAAAATTATGATCATTTTGTATGGATTTTGAAAGTTGATTTTTCAAGAAATTGTGAAGAATTCTCCAATTATGAATAGTGATCTCAAATGGTCTCCTAGATATCTTGAGATGTGGGAAGGAACGGACGAGACTTTCTTATGGTAGATTCTATGAAGTTGATGAGCCATGTCATCACCAGAGAATTTTCGGGCTGCCATTTTTTTCGAATTCAGATAGTTAGTAGTAGGTTTTGAAATTTTTCCATTTGAATACCCAATTTTGTCTCTCCCGTTGATCACCAATTTTATGGGTTGAGCACACTGGAGGTAGTTATGTGCATTAGGTTTTTTAACTTTTAGGTAAGGTGATAATGATCAACTAATACACCCATTAAAGAAGCTGTAAGGTGAGGTGGGGTGGTTTGGGAATTACTAGAACCGGTTAATGCGGTAGGATATTTTTTGAACTAACGTCATTGTTGCTGGTTTTTACAACATCCTTAGATTCTAAAAAGAGCAACCCACATGTAGTGGCTACCTCGAGGGAAAAAAGAAACACACCCTAGTTTGGCTATGTGCTTGGTTTGCGCAATTTCATAGCCGGAGAAAAGAAAAGAAATTCTGCTCGATGTCGAGCCTCTGAATGAAGTGATCCAGCCATTGCCTTCCTGACTGGCTCTAATCGCGACCATATCACGAAGGTCTCTGAACGCTGCGATTCAGTTGTTTCTTTTCTAGGAAGCTCTAATCATGACTGTATTGTGAGGGATCTCTGAACACCGCGATCCAGTCGTTGCCTTCCCTACTAAATGTAATCGAGACTGTATGACGAGAGGCTGGTCACGAAGATGATGCTATTCGGCAAACCTAGGTGGGGCATGAGCTACACCAATAGAACCTGAAGATATTAAGTTGCAATCTTACCTTAGAAAGTGCAAGAGCTATTGTCATGTCTAGTATTTCACTTATTCTCTAAAAATATGTTTTTGTGGGAAAGCTAGAGAATTTACGGTACATTGTTTTTACATTTATTTTTTTGAGGAAACTAATTTTTTTAAATGAAAAAACTGTGTTCTGTGGTGGAATCAAGTCAATAGTGGAACCCTGGTGAGGTTAGAGGAAGACTGTCTACAATGATTGTGGAAGTTGTATTTGGGACATGCAAATCCAGTCCATGGAAGTATAGTGAAATTGTAATTATGATTCTACATTCTACATGTTTTACAAATGATATTTACATTCCATGGTCCTTGAATGCTTGTTTTAACTGAAAAGTTTATGTTATAGGACAAAATACCGTGTCAACTGTGAAGGCTCAATGCGTTACTCTTAGTTTACTTTATTTGGGAGAATTCAGTTTTGAACATTTTTTTTTGAGATTTTATAAACCATTTTCTATTTCATATTATTATTTGATGACTAATTAGCTATAATGTCAGGTACCAGGCAGTCTGAAATTGTGGAGGCTGATTCCAAAAAAAATTGTGTTTAAGGTTCGTTGACGATTTCACTTGTATATGTTTCTTTATTTTTAAGTCTTCAATATGAAAGTTATTCTTCATAAAATGCCATACTCTGTTGTTCATGTTTTTCTATGCTTCAACTTTCCATATTATTTCCAGTTCAAGGTCCTTGTGGTTCTCTTTTTAAAAATGATGCTTGTTGATATTTTCAAAAGTTAAACCGAAGTATAGGCGTATTAGTAGCAAATTTATGTTGTAATGGGCTAAATACACAGTTCAACCTTATTCACTTTTGATTTTTCGAACATCTATGTGTAATGGGGCTAAATACACATATTCAATTTCTTTCACTATGTTTCTACTTAATGGAAATTGCTATGCAAGCACTTTACAATGGTAAAGGGTGCTGAATATATCAATCTTTAGCATTAAATCAAATCATTGTTTCTAAAAATTGTGGTAAAGGATGGTACACCCTCATTAAATCCACTGTTCGTGGACCTGCCAAAGAATTAACCTGAACAGAGAAAAGGATTCAGCTTTGTTGTTGTTTTTGTTGTATATCCTTCATCCTTTTTAACAAGAAAGCTTACAACTTGAAAAAGAACCGGATAGCTCGACTCGGCTTTAGGCGTTTTGAAGAGCTTGAATACCTGAGGTTCAAGCTTGTGATGAGGCGGTCGATCAAATACGACTTCATCAAAATTTGGCAGAATGCTGCTAGCAAACTCAAAGCTTGGGGAAACCACCACTTATCTCTGGCTAGAAGATTCACTCTCGTCAACTCATCCTTGCTGGTCTTGCTGGCCATGCTGACCTTCCGCCTCACCTACATGGAACCCTAACAAACTCAAAGTTTCGCTTATACTCAAAGTCTTCATTATGTTTCTTGGGATAAAATCTGTTAACCAAAACATGTTGAGGGTTTTTTTCTTTCCACTGCTTTATGGATAGTCTGCTCTGCGCTAGATTAACTTGGTCTTTCATTACCTCCTCCCAGCAGCTGGCCAATTGATGTATCACCGAAATCCATGGGCTCAACCTAATGGCAGTAAGACCATAAATGATTCTTTTGTTTGGAAAATCATCATTAGGGGAGCCGAGAGCCTAAAAAATTGTGTAAGATGGGCTATGGGTATTGGCAACCACATTAATGTCCATGACCATCATGGATTGGCCATTTCAAAGTGGCCTACCTACGTGAATGTTATTAATAGAATTCAAGTTGGTTGAAGTGGAGGAATGCATCGGGCCTATTGTGTGATAGAAAAGTATCGCTTATACTTGAAGGTAAATTTTATAAGATGGTGGTGAGACCTGCAATGCTCTATGACACAGAATGTTGGCCTTTAAAAAAGAAGCATAAAACAAAGTGCATAAAAAAAGAAGCATAAAACAAAGTTAAGTGTTGTTGAGATGAGAATGCTTAGGTGGACAAGATTAGAGAGAGTTGTCTTGGGTGGTTTGGTCACATTACCATCTAATAATCTGTTTAGGAGAGTAGATATTTTAAATTCAACTAATGTTAAGAATGGCAGAGGTAAACCTAAAAAGACAGACTTATTGTAAAAAAAAAAATGATCTTAATTTATTGATCTTAATTTATTAGAATTAAAACTGAAAATATGACACTCAATAGGATGCAATGGAGAAAAAAAGATTCATGTAGCAGACTATGCTTAGTGGGATAAAGACTTGTTGCTGCTGCTATTATGTTTTAAGCAGTGATTCATTACTTTTCTACCTCTCCTCTTTCGAGCCAAGGTCTTCTAGGTTCTCTCTCCCTCTCTCTCTTCACTCTCCCCTCTATCTCGCATTGATCCATTCCTCTAGTCATCATTCTCCAGCCCCTTGGTCGCCGAATGGAAGATAAATTGTAAATTGACTTTAATTGCTCTAGCAGTGAAGTAGAGCTAGCATAATGCTTTTAAAAAATTTGAGGTTCTACTAGTGCCTTTATAAAAAATTGACGGTTTAGTTGTTTCCTTTTCCATAACTATATGTTATTTATAATCTTTTAACATATATTATTTTGAGAATTTGGTGCAACTTAAAAATAATTTTAGTCCAAAAGACTTTATGCTGTCTGCAAGTGTTAATTCATTTTGTTCTTGTCGGTCGTTTTTTTATTTTTTTATTATTTATCTTTTAAAAATCTTTTATTTAATTTAACTCTATAACTTCAAATAACTTTATGATTTGGAAAAAAGTAATAATTTTGTGATTTTCAAAATAATTAAAATATAAATATGATCCTTTTATTTTTTTTTAAAAAAGTAATATTTTAATTTTAAAATAGGCGAGACCAAACGAGTCTCACTTTTTAAATAGTTTAGATGATTGAATACAATACTACAATTAATACACTTATCCCGAAGAATAAATATATCACTTGTAATAGAGATTCAATCACCTACACTAAAAAATTTGTGACATTCGTTTTGATCTGCGAAATATTTTATAAAAAGGCCAACAAGTTCCCCTATCTAATATAAAAATTAGATAGGGTTTATTTTATCTGGGTTCCTGGTTCCCTATAGAGGCAAGCCCCTATAGTTAATTACATCTTAAATGATCGAAATCACTTAAGAAAACTCTCGATTAAGATCAGGTGGTTTTGTTTCAAGATTTCAAAGTTTAGGTTTTCACGATTGGACATGGGAAAATCAAATGGGAATGGCTCAAAATATGAACAATTATTTAAGGAATTCAAATGAAAGAAAAGTAGGGGACATCACAGATCCAGGAGAAACCCCAGAGATGTCCCAACTATCCTATTGTTCGGCTTTATGTCTTTGAAATGATGTTTATTTGATATTTCAATCCTGCAAATTATTTAAGATTTAGGACTTATGCTTGCACAATGTCGGACTGTGCAAATAGCCTAAAAAGACAGGATTTACACCGTATCGAACGGTAACCTTGGAATCTTAAAACGTTAGGACTTATAATTGTACAACAGAGTTGTACAGAAAGCCTAAAGAGTGATCCTATAAGTTGCTATTTAAACTAAGGAAAGTGTATAGTGTTGTGAAAATGTTCATGTAATGTGAATATGTAAAATTGTTCCTCGTCGCGCTGCCCTCGATGTTCGCTCCAAACTCCTCGTAGTAGCACCTCCTGGTTTAGTTTTAGTTTTGAAAATACGCTTAACCACGAGATCATCCTAATCTAAGGCATAGTGTATCACAGTAACTAAGCATGCATTAATAAGCATGCAATGTGAAAGAAAAGAAACAATGCACTGTATAGTAAAGAGAAAAAACAATATAACATGCTGAAAGAAGAACATAACGTGCTAGGGAAGCAGTATAACATGCTATGAAAACAATATAACATGCTGCGAAAATAAAATGCTGTAATATAAATTAAACCTGTACACCTGACAGGTCCATTGCTCATTTTAATTTAGTTATTATGTGCTGCATAAAAGAGGGAAGTACGACCTGAAAAAGACTTAATAGAAACAGGTATCGCAGGGAAAAGATACAACAACAACAACAACAACAAAGCCTT